GTCCTTCCCGCCCGCCCGCCGGCGCCTGACCGGGGATGGTGATGTGATGCCAGCAGTGGCCTCGAGGTTACCCATCGGGGTGTTGGCGCTGGTGTTGGAGGCTTGTCTGTCACAGTCTACCTGGGCCCAAGCTCATGACGGCAAGCCCGCGCGTCCACTGGGCTCACTGCGCCATAAGTTACGACTATGAGGGGTTTGATCTTAGCAGACGTATTTGGTCTCATTATAATATGACCAATCCATATGTCACTTTTGACCCTTTGCCCCTTTGTCCCCTGCCTCTTGAGCTCACAGCAAGCAGTATCCAGTCAGTGTATGAGACGACGACGTAAGATCCTGTTGAGACTTATTCGAGACTCTGTTGCCGCACAAGTGCTGTCGCTGTATTGATGCCGTTACCTATACCATTATGCCTCTGGCCCCCATACTAAGAGACCAATTAGAAGCATTAGGTAAGTAGAAACCTGTCTACTTATCCGTTATAACTCACCCGTGATAGCTCACCCTGTAACAAATCGTGCAACGACTGTGTAAAACACGCAATCTTTCGCTTGTAGTCGTCTGCATCCTATCGTCGCTCCACCATACACCAGCCGAAAGCCGTCGGCTACTTCCATCGCGAACATCTCACGCAGTTACAGGACGTCTATCCACCTGTACACAGAATAAGTCACTGTGGGAATGGGCGGAATGAGGACGTTGTTGAGATGACCTTTGGTTGGTAGGCGGAAAGAGAGCAGCGAGAGGATACCCGAGTCAAGTGAAGCTCTCACACCCATGTCCTCGGGACAGATGGACGGATGCCCCTCGAGGACTTGTAGTAACAGTAGCAGCTGAGTTGGCCACATGTCAGCCACAATATGCTTCAATGATTCAGATACTCCAGATGCCCCAGATGTTTCAATGCTCCAGATGACCCAGATGTTCCAAATCCTCTCCAGATGTCCCAGATACTCCTGGCTCTACTATCGACCAAGTCATATTACAAGCGATGCCGCATGGGAGGCCCGAGACGAAGGCCAGAAGACAAGAACAGAGCTGGCGTGTTAGAGAGAGACACTGCAGCCGATCCGATGCCGCTATGCTGGCGGAGCGTAGTGCAAACCGGTACATTGGCAGGATGTGAGGAGCGAGAACCAAGGCAAAGCGAGAACCAATGCGACGATTGCGAGTGTGTCACAAGCATGAGTTTGCTTGCACTGATAAGGTCGTCTACTGCAAGGGAGATGCCAACCAGAATGACGAGTAGATCAGGGTATATATAGATACTGGGTAACGTTTCTGGCCCTCTCGGCCGGCGTCTCTGTCGGGTGGACGACGACTTCGGTCATCTTGGTCTGCTGGCGTGGAGTTCGGATCAGCACGTTGTCGGGGACACGAATTGCACAGGAGTGAGTAGACCGGACAATCGATGCGACTGGCAAGTGACCAGTAGGCGTCCACTTTACTGTACTGTTTGCATTGTCTATGCATTCTGCCTGTCTGTCAGTCTGGCCACCCATCACCCATGAACTCAACCCCCTTACCTCCCCACCCCAACCCTGCTGCCCTCCTCCTCCTCTCCGCCGAGGAGTCGATCTGGCCGAAGAGCCACTGCGCAGTACTCTTCCTGCAACGCCTCTCCAGCCTCCCGTACGGCCTGCTCGACATCGCCGTTTACCATCCGCCCCTCCGTAAAGTCTATGGTATGTCTATGTCCATGTTCAGAATGGTCATCCTCTCCTGCGCCTCGTCGAGCTGCTTCAGAGCATTCGAGTGTGATGTCGTGCGGATGTTCTGATACTTTGCTATTCGGCATCAGTGGTGCACTACCACAAAAGCCTTTAATCCGAAGCGGTGTTGACTCACCTTCGAGATCGGTCACCGTGGGGTTTTCGCGTTCGGGGTCAGAATTCCGATTTCGCTGGTACGGTCGAGTTGTGGTAGCAATCAATAGATGCATCCATCATCCTCGGTCATGCTCGAGCGTCGGTACTTGTTGTCGAACAAGGGTGCGACGGAGTAATATGCCGGCGTATGTTTAAAGTCCCCACCGGGACGACGGTAGTTGGTAGTATATGCATCTATTGATCTCGGTCAGTTACCTCATCTCCAAAATGCACCCTGACCCCAAGCCCTTCCAGAACTACTGACGACGTCTTCCGGAGGTCAAGATGCAAAAGGAGGGGAGGCAGAGAAAGACAAGGCGAACGGACGAACTTCTTCGTAATGACAGTCCCAGAGACAAGCGCCTCGTGAGACAGGTGGAGGATCTGAAGGAGACAGCAGGGAATTGACTTGCTATTGTCGTCTGAAGGAGACTCTCAGCCAACACAGGCTAGACAGGAGGACATAAAATATTAGCAAACGGACACAAGACGACCGATCAGAGATAGATCAGCAACGCCGCATGCAATGCAATGGATGGGCCCCGACCTGAAGCATCTGGTGTGGAGGGTGCTCACGGTGGGTGTTGTCAGGGAGGGTTCTCCACCTGGAGGCAGACGACGGGATGGTCAGAAGGGTGTAATATGGATGGATGTGGCGGGTTGGATGTGATGGGACGCTGAAGCTTGGCTTACACCGGGCAGCTTGTCTGGGTGGTCTGGCGCGGGGAGTGGTGCTGGAGATACCACGAGAACCTATATGGAGTGCGCGACGGCGCTCAAGGAGTTCCAGGTGTGAGGTTGGAGGTTGGCCGTCTTGGATGATCTGGGGATGGTGATCAGCGGTCTGCAAATGGAGATGGGGATGAAAATGGGAATGCTGCGCGGACCTGTTCGTAGGATGGTGGATTTTTCACAAAGTCGAACGGATGTGCCTAAGTCAGAATTGAGGGCGTGCGTTCAACTGACTAAGGTAAATCTACAGCACCGCCTGGCAATGGGTGTCAGATGCATGCCCGGGTACATGTACCCTCAGCTGCTACAGCGGTCACAGCAGCCAGCTCGCTATGACTACAGTGCTCCCGTCAATTGTCGGCCCTATAGTTCTTCCGCGCCCATCATGACACCCACGACACACCGCGCACGGACCCCACCACCCAACCTTTTCTCTCGCCGCCCGTCCCCGCTCTCTCTCTCTTCGACTTCCTTTCTTCTTCACGGCACCAGTGGGCGACGTTCTCGGATCATTTAACGCGTCGATTGGGGGATCCGACTAGGGGACGCCCTACCTCCATCAGCGCAAACACTTGAACCCTCCGCCGCGTCCCGCGTGCCGTGAACATGGTATGCGAGCTGCCTCACTGCTGCGGGTTGTCAGATCTCCTCACATCTGTTCTAGGGCCTACCCTGTCGTGTATACGCCGCTACAAACCTGGGCAAGTTCTTTGGCCTGTGGTCTTTCTGGCTTCGAAAGGGCCTTTGATGGCAGCGGGATGATAGTTCGACGCACAACCGATCGTAGCGGATCGAGTCGCCTCGCAGTGTTTTGACTCTCCCACTTGGGCACATACCCCTTCCCCAGGTGGACAGCTTATCCGAACTGACGAAGGGCACCAGGGGGAGTTCCGGAGCCCAGCCCGTTTACGGGCGAACCGGACGCAGCTTCCCAGTGGCGCAACCAAGCTATGGCAAACACCGGATCGTGGTCCTCAGGGGGACTGGGTTTGTTTTGGGAGATCTTTGTGCGTCCCGAGCAGGACAGGTCAGAGGTCGGCAGATCAAAGGTGCTCGCCCCCGAGAGGGGTGTCGAGACGAACGGCTATCGTGAGGTTGCCGTCTGCCGAAGCGGCCGGAAGGTGGTGGTAGGCTGGGCTTGTGCCTTGTGAAGAGCCCATCCCGTCATGGGAGAATTTCGCCTGCGCAGCACCGAGGGTGTCCTAGGAGTCCTGCGTGTTGTGTGGGCGTATACTTGGCTGCTCTCGCAAGAGAGTCGTGGGGATTTGGCTTTTGTGGGCGTTGGGAGACATCTCTTGCAAAAGAGTTGTCTTTGAGGCCATCGACAAGCATCTCTCGAAAGCGAGTTGTCTTTGTCGGCGTTGGCGGGCATCTCTTGCAAAAGAGTTGTCTTGGGGACATCGGGGTTCCGTGGGCATACGCTGTTTAGTCGCTACGCGTGCACGCAATACTCTAGGGACTCTATCACGCCTATGATGAGAACACACTCTTCTCTGAGGCAATCTTCTCTACGAACTGTGGATACCGTGGGCTTGGTTCTGAGGGTTTGATCTTCGCACTGGCATTGTCGGCTTGGGGCATGGGGTGGCTCTCATCTCCGGGCTGACATTCCGGTCTTGGATCTGTGGGATCTGATTTCCGCGTTTTGCAACGTGGTTTTTGGATCTGGCAGCTTGAGTTTCCGTGCCGGCATCGCGGTTTTGGGTTTGAAGGTTTTGATCACCGCGCTGGCATCGCGGTTCTTGCATCTGAGGGTTTGTCGATCACCCCGACTTGCTGTCTGAGGGATTCGATCATGTCCACGGCTGGCTGGCCACCAGCATGGACTATTCGTCTTGAAATCCTCTCCGTACTGGCACCGCAGTGAGGAAGTTGGTTGGGAATACGAAGTCTCTGCGGTATTCCGCATGCAGACGACTTGGCTTTGCTGTGCGAAAGGGTCCCGTCAGCAGTAGAGTAGCCTCGTCGCTACGATCTGCCGAGGGGAAGCCCTACTTCGCCTCCAGTCGGGGCAGGAGGCTTCTTGATCTTGACTGTCTGGCATTGCAGTCCGTACGGGTGGCAATTGGTGTTGGGGTCTGACGAGGGTCCCGTAAGCAGTAGAGTAGTCTTGTTGCTACTAGCTGTAAGGGCAACCCCTAATTCAACAACTTGGCTGTACGAGAGGGTCCTGTAGGCAGTAGAGTAGCCTTGTTGCTACGACCTGCTGAGGGTAAGCCCTATTTCGCCTAGATATCTCATGTCGCCTCCTGGAAGAGAAGCGGCAAGAGGAGTTCTGGCGATGGCACTATGGACGGCGGCGGCACCTCGTGTGGGACTTAACAGCAGGACACTTGGAGCCTGTTTTCCTTCTGCGGGACACAGTCACATTGTCAGTTCGCGCCTCGGATCGTCGGTTCCTTACTCATTCTCGTTCCTAGCCGAGATGTTGATTGCTGACATTGGATGCTCCAGATCTTCTAGACCTCGAAATCCGGCTTTCCTTCCGTTCTCCGATCTTACGTCTCTCCATCCGTCTTTCCGCTTCCTGCTTGTATCAACAACCTGCCAGCCGATCCCCGTGTCGACAACGAGCAGCATAACAAGAACGACGGGCGTCGGTAGAGCGGTTTTTGCGACGACCCTCTGTGCCCTGCGTCGAGCAATTGTCAGCCGCTTGGCTTCGTTCGCATCGGCCTCCCTGCAATAGAGTCGCTCACAAGGCGCCTCCGACTCTGCCTCTCGTCCTCGCCCTCGTCCCCGTCTTGCGTCGTTCCGTCTTCTACAATCTCGATATCTGCTTCAAGAGGGTGCCATACCGATGCTGACCGAGACACCGACTGTGCGGAAGCGGACGAAATACGGGCACTGAGGGCGGCACCGCTGGAATGATGGCACCAGGGGCAGACGATGGGGCGCGAAAAGGGGGTTGAGCGGGAAAGGGAGGGGATGCAGAGCATTGTGGCCCGGCGGATGGGATGAAGGCCATAGGATAGATCACTGGCGTGAGTGCCCACATCAAATACCAGCGGAACAGAGCCTCTTCTATATCAAACCGTCCAGCACCTCGACCCATCCGTGGACCGTAATGGCCCGTGACACGAGATACCGAAAAAGCCCACAGCAGCGACAGCGTCCTCCCGCACGTCTGTCACTTTCCGAAGCGCGAGAAACAGCGACATCAATCCCATCCCCACGGGCATGACCAGTGACATGTGGGACACGCGAACGCATCAGCCCGATACAGGGATCGCAGCGGCTGATGGCGGAGCAGGACCGCATCGTGGGGAGTCCTGTCGTTCTCTGGAACCCGAGCCCTATTTGAACACCAAGGTAAGTATGACGTGGTTCGGATCTCCCGTCGTCCGTGCTGGGCTAGCGATGGCGGTCGTATTGTAATAGCCTCTGGTCAAGGAGTCAAGGAGCTGAGGTGGCGGTGTCTCAACTTAGGTCGAGGCGGACGGAGAACGTAAGATGCAGGGGACTACGATGTTACAAGCTGAATAATAGTTCGTGATGAGTTTGGGTGTACAAGGCCAGGAGAAGCCAGTGGAAGCCGTACATGCCGACAAGCAGCGCAAAAATGACGCTGACGTGTATGCCGGCGTGGCGATGCAGGCAACGAACACCAAAGCTCTCCCTAGAAATGTGGCTCGTCCGTTTCATGTATCATACTCAGGGGGCATGTATCGGCGAAGACGCCGACAGATCACATTCATCGCCATGTCGACAGACCAAGTCGATTACGCTCACGCAGTAGGTAAAGTCGACGGAAGCGGTAGCTATTATTATAGTATCTTCCAGATATCTACTTATCCATCGTCCTTAACATGTGGACCAGTAGATCTAGTGACTTAGGGAAAATCATGCTTTATGGCTCCTATGATGTGAGATGTGAGAGCCGACCTGCTGAGATCGAGGACACCGACGAACGTTCTCTTCAGAATCAGGCGCTGCGATACCCTCCATTGAGCTCGAGAAATCGATGACCATCTTCTGGGATGCCTATGTAAGGGTGTCGAGTCGGTGTGTCTGACAGGGCCCATTGCGTCTCTCGCAGACATACAAGCGACTCTAGCAAGGTGATACGCAATACCTAGGACCAGGATATGGAGCATATGGAGCATGGCCACCGTTCTTTCCGTTAGCTTCTACCGCTTCCATCATCACCACTGCCACCACCACCACTTCTATCACCTCCGTGTCCGTCGCCGCCACCAACCCCATAGTCATCAATCTACGCGGGCCCAACAAGCGATACTCAGTCATATCCCCTCATCATCTGAAAGCACAAGATCCCGAAAGCAATTCGAATAAACCCCCAAAATACGACATGGGCACCGACAGACCGCGAAACCAACCCCCCCAAGAAGAACCGATGCAGCTCAAGGCTCAAGAGATCAAGACAAAAAAGACCATGATAACACAAACATAAAAAACCAGCTCGACCTGGACGCTAGAAACGTCTTGGAACCCCACAAGAAGCGCGGACGCCCTTCCAAGGCGGCGAAAGCCAACAACGCTACCGCCGCCCAGCCGGTCAAGCCAAGGCTGCTCAGGGAGGAACTCATCGACGATGATCCGGATGAGGATCATCCCGTCCGCAAGCGCTGCGAGGTCGACCTGCGCTACGAAGGGTGCTGTTGTTATATCTGGCCTTGTAAGCATGAATGTCGGCCTGCCTGTTTGTCCGTATTGAGAGAAAGTGACTTGAGTTTTGACGGGCTGGTTGGCTTTTACGGATTTTCGTTATAAATGTGTCTCGACATGAGTCTTATCTGCTGTTGTCCTGCGTCGATGGGTACATATCGAGATTCGGAGAGTCCTGGAGACTGGAAAATAGAAACCGGTGGCTGGCTGGCTGGCTAGTCCCGTATGTGCCCTTCCCCTGGGCTCTGATGGAGCGGTGAGTGGCTAGCTGCGGGTATCTCGATTCCCATTGTCGCGCCTCCAAAACCGTGAATCATGAATCGTGAACCTAGCTCCAGCCTGTGATGTTGAAGCCTAGGAATTTGCAATGCCGTAAGCCAAAGCACCCCAACCGAGACGGTGCCATTCACACCGTCGCCAATGAGAACACACGCGACACGCAAAAACGATCATTTTAGGCCAGCGATAGCAGTGATGACCGCGCCTTTGGCCTGATGTACGGAGAGGTCGTATCGGGACCGGCCAAAAGGGAGGAGCATTTTGAAGAGGAGCATTTGACGAGGAGTAGGGCAGGAGGCCGGCGCCGGCGCTCAACTAAATTCTCCCACCAGCATCGGGTTAGAAGTCCAAGAATTTATAGATATATTGACGGTTTAGAGTCCGCACTACGATCGGAAGAGCCGGTAGGCCTGGAGCTAAGCCCTACACCAGTGTCTTTCCTCTTTGCCGGGTCTACCGCGCCTCTGAAGGCTGGAGGCTCGAGAAGAGGCCACCGGACCAAGTGTCATCCTTAGATAGCCCACCCATATTCATCTTCCATTACTGGTATCGCTTTCATCGTCTCTCCCACGGGTCCAATCTTCGAGCTTCGGGTCGGTACTTGCCATTAGTCCCTTGTTGCCTGGGGTGAACGAGAGCAAGAGCCGTGGGTGAAGTCGGTTGGCCGGCTTGATTGTTCCATCCACTGTTCTGTGTGTAGAAAGAGCCTGGTCCAATATGTCTAGGACAATAAACACCGTCTAAATTCGACATTATATGAGCGCAAGTCCCTTACTGCCCACGAATTTTGTGGCTCGATCGTTCCGGTAATCGACAAGTCTAGCCAGGTTAGGGGTGCCGTAGAGAACCTCGGAGCTCATCGCCAACGCCGCGGGCGCAGCGTGTTATGGGATTTCGCTATAGGCGTGATGAAAGCGCTAATACAATGTATAAAGCTCTGGATCGTCGTCAGGACAGCCAGTAAGGAGGATGGATGGCGTTCGGTCCGTCCTTGATGTCGAAGGCAAGACTTGATGGATCGTAAGCCCTCGTAGGGGTCTCGATGGTAGCGGTACGCCAACTGGACCAGCCAGCCAGCCATGGGCGATCGATCCCGAGGCCGGCGTGAGTGTCACGGCGAGCATACTGAGGAGCTGGGACATGGCCTGCAGCAAGCAGCTATTACTCTATTAACAAGAATATCAAGACTAGAGAGGAAAGGAAGAGAGAGAGAGAGAGATAGGTACAGTGGGAGGTTGCCCCTTTAAGGGGATCCTTTGGTCAGATCCTTCCCCTATTGGGAAGTATCCGCTTGTTATGTGGGAAGGTCTGTGCAGGCCGTCACAAATCTCTTATCTAATTATACATGTGGGTTCTGTATGGATGGTTCCACTGTGGAATCACATAGATCCAGCAAATATGTATACATATAATATATAAATATATAAGTACATAAATCAGTTTTGTTGGATCCATGCGATTCCAGACTGCAAACCATCTATACCAGGACCCACATGTATGATTAGATAAGATAAGATAGTGGATTGAGAGGGCACTTGGCCAGACCTTCGAGTCCAGCTAGATTCCTCTCAATCCAACCATCAGCAACATCATGACCTTGACCCCATACTCGAGTATTATGATTGATCGTTCAAGCCTGTTCCAACAAGTTTGTTATTTTTAAATATTATGAGTAAAACCAAAACAATTATTTTAATAAAAATCTTTAAGAAATAAAATTATGTTTTTATCCTTTTCAATTTTGTATATCGTAAGTGAAATACTATTTATATTTATAAATATGTTTTTGTTTAACTTCCTTATTTATTTTATTTATCTTATTATTATTTCTTTAATCACAAATTTTATTTTCTTTATAAGGAATAATCTTAAATTACCTTTTTAAAAATTCCTAAAGCGATTATGAAGATTCGAGCTGTTATACAAGTCTTTGTTCGCTCCCCAGAGCCAAATGGATCCAAGACTCCTAATCGACAATGACTTGACTCGGTTATATGAGTCTATATATAAGCAAATCCTATCGTATCAAACGATGTACGTAAGCCAGGGCAAGCGCAAGCGTGCTAGCTTATGTATATCGGAGCCACCCGGTCATCGCCATCGTTATCCCCGCCAAACGCCACTCGATGGACAACGCAAGGCCCAACCAGCTTGTGAATCCCCTGCAGGGCCGTTGTTTCTCTTACCGTCGACCCCGGACGCAGAACGACCGGCCACCGCGATCCCCGTACAGTAAACAACCCATCCCCCGCCCTCGCCCAGGCGGGAGCGAGACCAAGGCTGCCATCACGGGACCTAAAAAGCCGCCGATCTTTGGCTCTAAAGTTGATCCGGTCGGTAACGCGGGATAGTTCCCGATCCTCGTATCCGCCGGTCCATGGCTGACGATGCTTGGCCCACCAGGTATCGAATAGTGTGCGGTTCCGCATCACGGCGAAGGGGTCTTCGCCGTGGAAAATAAGACCGATGTGCTTTCCTTCTACGTTAACCTGCAAGTCCTTGCCGACTAGTGTCTTCCATAATGACTCCCACAAGTCTCCATGTTTCGTTTGCGTTTGCCCCTGGTCATGGTCGTGTTCCAGTCGTAGGAAGCGAGTCCACTCCTGCAGCACAAGCCCATGCGCTTCCCAACTGACACGGTCCCATTTAGATTGAGACCACGTGGGAAAACTGGCGTATACCGAATCACTGAGCTCTTCTATCTGGTCGAACTCGCAGCCATCGACGTCGAGAACGCCGGGCGAAGCCAATCGAGCGACCTGTGGTGGTTCTAGTGGAGGGCTCCAGGATGGCGGTTTGGTGTCTCGAAAGCGGTACCGCAAGAGGTTCGTCAACTCGTCTCCCGCGGGCGCAGAGCTCCAGTCCAAAACCCACGACGGTAGGTTCGGCACATCCGAACTAGTAGTCTCCTCGTCGCGCTTGGGGTTTCCAAGTGCCCAGACGTCAAAGGAGCTCATTTGCATGATGATGCCAAAGGTGAAAGCCGTGTATATTTCGCCAACATTTTTAGTGTAGTCCGGCCGCACAGTGGCGAAGCTGGCGTTGGCCATGCTGTAAAATGCAAACAGCTTATCCCGCGCATCAGACGCCTTCTGCGGCCGACATTTATGCAGCACGAGGAGTGCGCAGTCCCTGCGGTACGCGGCGGAGATGTTCTTGTCGCCCCTAGCCAGCTCGGAAAGATTCCTGATGCCGCGAAGCTGCCACATGTGTTCCACCAGTCGTCTCAGTTGAGGCACCAGACGGCGATTAACCGTGTTTCCCTCTGGGTCGGGACGTGCGAAGAAGGCGCAGCATTCGCTGAGGTGGCTACTTAGAACATTCAGTCCCTTGAGCAAGGTGGTTTGCCATGGGATAGCGCTGGAACCGAAGATCACGGTGGCGTTCTCTGACAAGGTGAGCTCCTGTAATGTCCAGCTGCGGGTGAACCAGTCAGAGCTCAGGAACCAGTCGATCGCGTCGGCTAGTTGCACGGCATGGCCGTTGCCGTATGCCACGTTTCCGCTGGCGTCGACGGTGAATGACTGGAAGTCCCACAAGTGCGGTGGGCCAACAGGTTCTCTGGCGAGACACTCGATGGCGTTGGTAAGGAGAGTGCTCCAGCTGAAGTCCAAGTCGGTCTGTCCCTTGTCTTTGGAGGGAGCGGTGCAGTCGTCGCCGATCCATACGAATACCTCCGCTGCACAGGAATAAATCGTCGCCATCTGCGCGACTTGGATGCTCTTTTCCTCGTTGTCCTGCTGGTTGATACAGAGCGCGTCGATCCAGAGCGGCGAGTGCATACCGCGCGCCCGCAGGCGTCTGAGGGCTATCACAAGGTTCTGCTGCACGGGAACAGAGTGGCCGTTGATGCTGATTGTTTCGCCTGCAGACTCAAAACCCCAACAATACGACAGGCATCGGTAGCTCGGCACCTCTCCCTCTCCCATAGACGCCGTGGTCATGTGGCATTGGACCTGTTCATGCCACTCTCCAGGCATGATGTAGCACAGACGGAAGAGCTTCTTGGTGTGATCGAGAGGGGCATATAGGATGGCAGACGTTGCTCGTTCGGCATCAATCTTCTCTTCAAGCGCTGTCCGATGTCCATAATGTTGCAACTGTGGGCTGGTACCTTTAGTCGTTACCGGCCGTAGCGAACCGCCGGCGCAACAGACCAGCTGACTCAGACACAGTGAGTCCCGGCGCCATTCACCGCCGATAGTGCATAGCTCAGCAACCAAGTGTGTACCTTCGATCCGCACGTTACGGGCCGAATGGTGGAATTTTTCTCCTGCTGTGTCGAAATGGCCGTTGTTGTTTCCGAGAAAGTAATCCAGTCTGATGAAACGCTTGCAGTACTCTCCGACACCACCGACGCCGTCGTCGTACCGCACCCGGCAGAAAGCCACAACAAGTGTGTCCCCAACCAACCTGACGTTCTTGCAATCTTCCCGTGGAGATGCGTTCAGTACCGCCCAGGATTGATCGTCCTTCCAGGCTTGAAACGTAGCGTGATCAAAACGAAACTCAGATGCGTCGAACTTCCGGTTCTCGTTATCCAGCATAGTGTCGAGATCAATGACGCTGGTCGAGCGAGTAGTGACTTGCAATGTAGGTGTTGCCATGTTGATCGCTGCAATGCCCTAGCTGGGCATAAGTCCATGTCAAGATGCTGTATCAATGTCTTGGCCCGAGACACTTCATGTCGAGATGTTGTATTGTGCGGGTAGACATAAGCCGTCGAGTACTGCACCGTTTGAGACGTAGCTGCTGCATGAGTTCTAGATACCTAGACACATGCTGATATTCGCTATCGTCCGAGAGTGTCCCTGGCGAGGGCCGCGGGGTCTTCGATATGCGGCCTTGAAGTGGCCGACAAGGTGGACTTTAGATTTGCAGAAGGGTTGGTGAGCTCGAACGTTTGGGCGGCCTGACGACGCTGTGCCTCATAACGTTGCTATTGAAGAGCACATGATTTACAAATGGCGGTCTGAGGAGCTTCGGGGCGGGGTTCGGGTCGACGAGGGGTAGGGAAGATCTACCAGGGGTAGAAACACGCGCATGTTGGTACCTAAAATTCCAAATCACAGGGTGGAAATTCGGAAATACTGGAATGACCATATATGAATAAGCAGTTTTAGTTTAATACGCCACTTCTAATGCTTATTCCGATTCGATGAATACCGTTGTTTGTAAGGACCGGTGGTCTACGGAGACTTATGAGGGTTCGGTGTAGCTAGAGACTGTCCAGGCCTCGCTTTGATGCAATTCGAGGTGACGACGGGTTGACGAGAACGGTTCACTGGTGCAGGACACTGTTTCAGAAGCGCGATGATTATCATAATCCAGTGTATGTGTTCTGCCAGCCGGCCGCGTTGCCGAAGTCCTTCCTAGGGTCCCTGATTCAAATGTCGGGCCCAAAACCTTGACCGGCTCATTGACTCTCATCGTCATACAGGTAGGTGATCATGAAATCCAGCTCGCACCCAGGGCCCTAACGTCCCGCGTAAGGCTTGACGGCATTTACGCAGATAATCAATTGATATGGATAGGCGCCTGGGCTTGGAAAGGAGGTGACGCAATCTCGCAGTGTGCTGGGTTGCCTGGTGGAAGTCTGGTGTGCGATGGCTCACTGTAGGTGCCTTTGTGCGACTCCTGATGGCTATGTAAACAACACGAGAGGATATATGTAGTGGCTACAGTATGTCGATGCGTTGCCAGCGCATCGGGAAACCGAGACTGTGGTAATAAACTGCACAGACTCATCGGCTTCAGGTCCGTAAAGAGCCCGGTACCTTATCTTGAGAAGTACTGCTGTCAGTAACTAACCTGCATCTTGTGTGGGCTTAGGGAAAGGGGCAAAAGTGATGTATTGGTCTAGTGTGGTCTGACTATATAGAATACCTGCCGAGACCCCCCTGTATCAGGTACGGAGCAACGGACACAGTGCAATCGGCCCCTGGAACCGCATGCCTCGTCACAGGCTCCATCATCGTCAATGTGCTTGTGGACATGGCGCCGACTGCGAGAACTCGAGCTCGGCAACTCGGGTAGGCTGTCCTTACAGCCAGCTCCCAGTCCCTGTCCCGGTTCTCAGTGGACATGGAGTAGAACCTGCGATTGACGCACGCCATGAAGCGGTCGAAGGTCATCATGGGCAGTGTCGTAGCCCGGGTCAAGTCGCTGCAGTTGAAGTCGGACGATGGAAGCTTGTCGAGCGAGAGGATGTATGCGACTTCTGTATCCCTCATTAAGCATCACGTCCCAGAGCCATCGTCGCTCATTATATGCTTTGCCTCAACCCGCTGGGAAGACTTCTGCTTCCTCGCCAGGTCGAACGGTCGCTAGGGGAGTCGTCTCTAGAACAGACGTGTTCCTCAACGCCAGAGTGACCTCGTCGTCGTGTTTGCTGCTGATGGATGTCTCCTTCAAGGTCGCCGTCGCTTCCCGACCAGATGACGCGCCGTGCCAGGGGACCACCTCCATCCAGCCAGCCAGCCAGCTGCTGCTGATGGCGTCTCCTCCCAAGGGGCCCCTTGCAGCCGGCTTCCAACAGGCAACACCTCTGGTGCACGTCACTTCACGCTGGTAGTCAGTATGTCAGTATGGTCAGTTATGTCAGTACCGGTATGGTCAGTATGGTCAGCATTCAGCCAAATGATGATCGCGAACAACAGACTCTACACCCGGACCTGTGTACATCTAAATGATGCGGTTAAAACGCCAGAAGTTACCAGCTTGGAGGGGCCTGTCAGACATGAGGGTCTGTCATCAGCCAGCGCACCCCCGTGCTATCCAACGCGACACTATGCTCCCTCTGCGCAGACTGCGATGCCAGACAGTCAAAATGCCCAGCACCACTGCCACCCACAGGGCTTCCCCTCAGCAGGTCCTAACAACAATATTACTCTGCTGCTTACAGGACCCTGTCGCAAAGCAAGTCGTCAGCCATGAAGCCCCCAGCGCCATCTGCCCTCTGCGAGACTGCAATGCCACAGTCAAAAAGCCTCCTGCGCCGACTACAGGCGAAGCAGGGCTTACCTCAGCAGATAGTAACGACAAGGCTACTCTACTGCTTACAGGACTCTCTCGCACAGCTGAGTCATCCACAAAGGGCTGCCAGACAGCCACAAAGCCTCCAGCGACATCTGTAGGCGAAGTAAGGCTACCCTCGGCAGGCCGTAACGACAAGGCTACTCTACTGCTTCAGGACCCTTTCGCACAGCTAAGTCGCTGTCGGAATTTAATGATTTTGATTTGATTGTATTTATCGTGGGTGCAGTCCCTCCACAGGGCAAACCACGCCTCCCAGAGCCATTGCATCGCAAGGTTGTAGAGGTGTCAGTCTAGATACATTCAGATCCGCGCACGAGCCTATCCTCGCTGTAGCGGTACCAATCTGGAGTGTCCAGATGGTTTTTAGTCAATCCCCAAGCACGATTCCGTCAGAAAAATCTCCTATCCAGTGACAAAGCGACCCAGTGAGCCTCAGTCCTCTGGTGTACACAACGTTCCAATAGCCGTTCCATATATGTCGCATTGGTGGGTGAAGTAGGTGTTTGTTATCTGCTGGCGAGGGAAACCACAAGGGGAAAAACCTCGCAAGAGTGGGTATTATGGAGACAAACTGCTTGGCTATCGGGCTCTGCGATAATGGGGCCTCTCCACTGTCGTGTGCTGGTTGTCGACTCGCACAAACGAGAACACAACCAGGCGCATTTGACCATTGCGCCATACGGCCAGTCGCTGTCGGAATACACAGTCAGGAAGCCTCCTGTACCAACGCCGATGCCAGACAGCGAGACAGCCACGAAGCCCCCAGCACAACTGCTGTGCTCGCGGACTGCAATGCCAGACAGTCCAGAAGTGCGCCGACTGCAGGCCAAGTAGGGCTTACCCTCGGCAGATAGTTACAACAAGGTTACTTTACTGCTTACAGGACCCTAAAGCCATTTGCCCTTCGCGCAGAATGCAATGCCTGACAGTCAAGTCTCCTGTGCCAACCCCAATATTAACGTCAATGAAGACGAACTGGCGGCTAGCCTCAGAGCCGATGATGTGTGCTCATCGAAGACGGCGTAGACGGCTCCCAAGACTGGTCCGATACCAGTGTCAGCCGACTTGAAGCACCGAGCGTGGTGGCCAAACCCTTCATGTGATGCTCCTGTTCCCCACGATCCAGACACGATCTTTGTCAACACGGCTTCCGTCGCGGTCTGCCAGACCAACAGCGGGCCCCGACTGTTGCGGCTTGCCAGGCCAACAACGCTTCAATATTGCCAGTTGGTTGAATCACCCGACCAACACCACCCTCGTCGACAGGCTTCACCGCGGTTTGCCAGACCGAAAGCAGCCCCCGAGTGTCGTGGCTTGCCGGGCCAACAACGCTTGCTTGCCAGCTGATTGGTCCCCAGACCAACCAACACCATCCTCATCGACACATTCCTACCGCGGTTGCCAAACCGACGGCGCACCTGTGACTCCGAGGCCAACAACGCTTGCCAGCTGGTCGGATCCCCAGAGCCGACCAACACCACTCTCGCCGACACAATTTCACCGCGGTTGATCAGACCGACGGCGGACCGTGATGGCTCCCAAGCCAACTCCCACTTGCCAGTTGGTCGGATCCCCAGACCAGACCAACACCATCTGCGTCGACACATTCCAACCCCACGGCGGTTTGTCAGACCGACTGTCGAACAGACTGTGAATGTTACGAAGTAGTACTGCCTATGGTCGCGAGCCAATGAGTGCTGGCTCTGCTCGGACCGAATTAGGACTGACTTCCTTGGTGTGACCAGCGCCGGCGTCCCGGGGCAACCAAGAGTAAAGCCAACGAATCCGACGAAAACGAAGCAGATGATGATTATATGAATGTCGACAACAAGCTCAAATTGGACGCTGGAACTGTCTTGGGCAACCAACCACAACAAGCACGGACGGACGCCCTTCCAATCAAGGCAGGGAAGGCCGGGTCGAACTTGAGTGCCGGTTCTTCCGCTGCTGTCAAGGGGTTCAGCGGCTCAGGGATTAAGGTAGTCGGGACAGTGCTCCTCGTGGTGCCCATCTGTGTCGCGTTTCCTTATTGCTCGGTCAGTTAGCTGGATACATACCGGTATGTTAAGTGAGTCTTGTTATTACAAATCTTTTTACAGGGCAGCCAGGGTTCTTCTGCTTGATATTTTGACAAAAAATAGATTGCGCGTCTGCTGGCGTTTCGTTCAAGGTATAGATAAAAAAACATAATCCTGGTCGCTGTCGCTGTCGCTGTTGCTGTCGCTGTCGATACATGTACACGCTGGTGTAAATAAGGGTCTCGCTGTGAACGCAATTCATGTCGGGCGCTAAAGCGGTCATATATGGAAAGAGAGGCGAGCAGGCCAGGCTTTGTACACCTCCATGCCTTCCTGTTTGAGTTTCATCCACTAGAGATAGCACCATGCCGTTATCTCTACATCTCGTTTCGCTTCCAAGCTCCATGTCGACAACCGGCCCTTACCGACCGCTATCAAAAAACCGAACTACCGTCTTTGGTATAAGCGCCAGGTTAGTCCTTGTCCTGCCTGTCTAGCCGTCTATCTACGAAGACATATAACCGCCGCCAACCCCTCCATCCTAAGTATCC